GGTGGGACTGGATGAGCTTTAAGATCCCTTCCAACCCAAACCATTCTGTGTTTCTATGACAATTTCTGGGTGAATAATTCATCAGCAAACATCTGCTACCTCTTGCTCAGCAGAAAACACAGCCCTGGGCTGGTCCCCTCCCTGTCTGTCCCTCCCCATCCCACACCTGAGTCCAGCCTGGAGAGCAGGATGAGACCGTGCTGGGACCCCACACACTGACACTGTCATTATCTGCCCCAGTGACTTTAGTTGCTTTAATTTCTCTCCCTGGGGTCCCCCCCAGAGGGGTGAATATGGGGGAAATGAGGGACTTTGGGGGGCCCAGGCAAAGTCACACAGCAGTCCTTCACCATAAACAACTATGATCACTGTGTGGCAAAATTAAACAGAATTAAACACCCAGGGGTGGGGATGGGACCCTCCTGGGGTCCCCAAGGGGATCGGGACCATGTGAAGGGGGATACTCAGGTCTGGGTGGTGGGAGCAGCTGCAGCCCCAAAGCACCCCCTGCCCACCCTGCCCAGCCCTGCCAGGGGCTCCATGGCACCATTTTATTCTCTTCAGTGCCTGGCCTCCCTTGTTTTTTACTTTATTCCTGGATTAACACATCGGGCAGCAGCCAGACTGGCTTCTGCTCAAAGGAGGAGGGGAAAGCGTTTATATAATTCATTTAAATGAGGCACCCGGGGAAATCCAAATTGGACTTCCAGCATGTTTACAGTGCCACGCAGGGCTCCATGATCCGCATCTGGAGCCATTAATGCCTCCCAGCCGGCCCACAGAGCATGGATAATTAATTGTGGAGCAAAGCCCCTGCCCAGCCTCCAAAGATATCGCTCGGGGGCAGAGGCAGCGCTGCTTCCCCTGGGATGTGGATTCAATTCAGCGGGGCTTTTCTCCTCGGTAAAATGTTCAGCCAGCCTTCCTCGGGGTGGGAAATGCTGGGCAGCCCCTGGGGGTGAAGCTGCAGGAGGAACGAGGCGAGCTGGGCTGTGAAATCCTCGCTGGGTTTGGGGGGAAGCATCACCTGCGAGGTGTCCTCGGGGGGGTGTGAGGCCCTGTGGTGATGGGCAGAGTCAGGGCTGAGCCCTGCCCTGGAAAAGGGGCACAGGGACCCCTCAGAGGGGAGCAAACCCACTGCAGGGGGGAGCAAAGAGCCCTGGACAAGCCAGCCCCCGTTCTGTTTGGCACAGGGATGGATCAGGCATCCCCTGCTCCAGGCACGGGGGGTTTGCTGCTGGGTGAGACATTTGGGGTGTGCAGGGGCAGGCTGAGCCCCCTCCCTGCCCTCGGGGAATCTCTCCGTGGCTGAACCAGCGCTGATCTCACTCCCTGGGGTGCTCCAGCTGCAGTGCCCCGAGGCAGCACCCGCTCCCACCCTGCTGGGAGCCAGCCCTCCCCCGAGGAGGTGCTTTTAGCCTTCCAAAAACGTTCCCCTGGGACATTACAGGGATATGGAGGGCACTTCGACCCATTTAAACCCTTTGTTTCTGAAAGCCTGGAGCGGGGAGGGACTCCTCTGCCTCCCCACTGCTGTCTCTGCGTTGCTTTGAAGAGCAAAGGAGGGATGGGAAGGGAGACAGGGAGTGAAAGAAAAACTTAAAAAAAAAAATTAAAAACTCCACCGTGAACCCTGCTGCTCGAGAAACATCTGTATCTATAAATACCCCCGAAGTGAGTGGGAACAGGCTGTATCTCCAGCAGCTCCCTG